TTTATTAATAACATTTCTTAAAAATAATTTTCTTTAAGACTAAAAAACTTGATTGGTTTGCGATTTAAAATTTTTAAATCTTACGACTTAAACTAAACAAAGAGATTTAAAAAGAGGGGATTGCTAGAGAGGGAGAAAGAGGAGAGAGGAGGAATGAAAGTAAGAGATAATTGAAGGAAAGAGAAAGAAGGGAGGATCGGACGAGATAGATAGGAAGAGGAGAGAGAGAAAAAGAACTGAGAGAATGAAGAGAGCGGATTGAAGGAGAGATGAAAAAGGTAAAAAAAAAGGAGAGAAAGAGAAGAAAAGAGAGATTTGGAGTGAGAGTGAAGTAGGGAGAGAAAAGAAATGAGTGAATTTAAGTTTAAAATCTCTAAAAATTCACTTTTCATATTTTTTGAAAATAAACTACATTTTTGAGTTAGTCTTGAATACAGTTTTTGAAAATAATCTTACCAAACAAGTTTTTAAGATTTAAAACTTAAAAAGTATTTTTCAGTTTAAAAAGTTGAATTTTCCAAAAACTTTTTAAATTTCTATAATAAAATCGGGCACTAGTTTCATGTGCAATTAATTTCTGTAATAAAATCAGGTATTGGTTTCACAAGGAATTTGGGCCCGTGACGTGGAGATTCCCGGTGAGAGAAGGAGCGAAGCGAAGTACCGAACGCGTAGTGGATGTTGGGTCGATGCAGCAGAGAATGAGAAACTCCTCCTTCTTCCATGGAAGACTAGGACTTTGTTGTGGGATTGGGGAAAAAATGGGGGAAAAACAATTGGGAAAACTCTAATCTTCATTCGAATATTGGGCATTGCAACCAAAGTTGCCATTTTTGGGTTTTGGGTGCCGAGGATCGAGTTTTTAGTCGCAATTTTGATGTTCGAGCCCTTTAGCTCAAGAGACTCAGAATGACCAAATGACGCGAGTGTCTTTGCTCACCATACTTGGATATTGTTTCTTGCTACTCAATTAAGCAGAAAATTAAAGTAAAACCAGCAAAAAAATTTAGGGCTTGTTTGGTATCCAATTTGAAATTTTTTATCATTTCTTAAAACATTTCTTGAAAACAATTTCCTTTAAGACTAAAAAACTTGATTGGTTTGCGATTTAAAAATTTTAAATCTTACGACTTAAACTAGATAAAGAGATCTAAAAAGAGAGGATTGCAGGAGAAGGAGAGTGGAGGAAAGAGAAGGAAGAGAGAGGAACAAACGAGATAGAGAGGAAGAGGAGAGAGAAAAGAACCGAAAGAATGAAGAGAGCGGATTGGAGGAGAGACGAAAAAGGTAAAAAAGGGAAAAAGAAGAAAGAAGAGAGATTTGGAGTGAGAGGGGAGGAGGGAGATCAAAGAAATGAGTGAATTTAAGTTTAAAAACTCTAAAAATTCACTTTTTATGTTTTTAGAAAATAAATTATATTTTGAGATAATCTTAAGTTGAGTTTTTGAAAATAATCCTACCAAATAAGTTTTTAATGTCTGAAAATTGAAAATTGTTTTTGAGCTTAAAAAGTTGAATTCAAATAGAGTACCAAATATGCCTTAATATTTTTCTCTCATAAAAAGGGCCATGTATTTTGTTTCTTGACTGCCCGAGTAGATAAACTAAAACTTTAGCATTTATTTTTTCTTTTTATATTGAAAATGTTGGAAAGGCAAATTTAATTTCACAAATAAATATGGCAGAAATTTAAAAACTCGTTTATAAATGTTTTTAAAATAATTAAAAGTGTTTTTAGAAGAGAAAAATTGATTCTAAAAACACCTAAAGTGTTTCCAGCTAAATATTAGTCATTCGTTTGAAAATGCTTTTATAATGATTGAAAACATTTTTTAGTAAAAATAATTTTTAAGAAATCCTTAGTTAAAAGCATTAAACATATGTTTATTTTAACAATTTGATTAAACATTCTCCTACATTTTTGGTGCCATAGGACCCGATTGCCACAGGACCCTCAAAATTCAATTTTTGGATTCGCTACTAGATCCACATAGGAACCCGGATGATCTTGGGATCCTCCGGATTCTGGGAGAACATCTCTGATCGACCATTAGGGAACCCCCGATGGATTGGGAAATGGTGGTGGAGAAGTCCTTGTCTCCATGGATGTGCATGCAGAATGTTATAAACGAGGAAGAAGAAGATGTTTTAATATTTTTGTTCTTTTTAAACGATCTGGTGGTGGAGAGGTCCTTGTCTACATGGATCATGGATGTGCAGGTAGAAGGTTTTAAATGAGGAAGAAAATTAAGAACTCGTCTAGTGAAAATCAAAGTAGATATTGAAAAAACACTTGGAAGTCATTCTTGCAAAAAACATATATTTGGTGTTTCATTTAAAATGTACTTGAAGTGCTTTTGGAACTCATAATCAATCTCATCACACTTTCAGTTACTTTAAAAGTACTTCTAAATGAGTCTTTAGCCGAAAAGGCTATAAGTACTTTTAAAATCACTTAAAACGCTTTCAATCATTTTGAAAGCATTTCCGAACGAGCCATAAAATGAAAGAGATTAAGCACTTGTTTGGAGATTACACTTTTTAGTAAGCATGCAAGTCAACTCTTTTAGTAACCATACAAGTCAATTTTTTTTTTAAAAAAAAAAAAAAAAAAAAAAAAAAGACACTTCAAATGCTTTTGAAATCTAAAAATTTTTTCTTTAAAAACGCTTTCAATTATTTAAAAACACTTCCTAAACATTTAAATACAAAATTAAAGTAAATTCATTTACAAATTCATACGCAGTGTAATATCGCAGTTCAGTGAAAGAAATTTGGTCCAGGAGCCATGATACTGCTCGACTTGGTTCCCGTTCCAAAACATTTCCTTGCAATGTTCCTTTTAATATTTTATAAGATAGATAGACATAAAAATAGCTATGGAAAATTTAAGCAAAACAGGGGATATTATGAATCAGTTGGTAGATGATATCCCATAAACCTTTCGGCTTTTATCAAAACAACCGACAGGAATATGTAATGGAGTCCAATCTTTTATTTGTTGCGTCAAAATGTGAGATAAAATGATTGGATATAATGGGTTATGATTCCATAATAGAGTTGGTTATCTACATATTTTTATGCATGAGTTACAAATCCTATCTTACACGTGTCTTCCAATCCAATCCTATCCCTAAGTGATGCAGAACAAATGGCTAAATCAATTTAAGAGAAGATGGACTGTTGGAGGACAAAAAGGACAAAGTGGGAACTTGCATACCAACAGAGCCTCATGTCACCCCATATTCTCTTGGATGGGTGAAGAAAGGACCTTCAGTTCGTGTCACAAAAACCTTCTGTGTCCCACTTTGAATCAGTATCCATTAACGGGATGAAGTGGTTTGTAATGTTATTGATATGGATGCCTGCCATGTACTGCTAGGAAGGCATTGGCAGTTTGATGTAAAAGTCAACTTTCTATAGAATTTTGTGAAACTCGATTCCGAGATACATGGAAGACGATACTGCCATACATCATTGCGAAGATACGGAAGTCAGCTTTTTATAAAATTTTGCGGAACTCGATTCCGAGTACCTGGAAGATGATATCGATGTTTTACCACTCCTGGAATTTTCTACAGGATTCCTTAAAGTTCTTCCTCCTACTTCATATCAAACAACGTACAACGTGCTGCAACGACGTACGAGTTCAAGATACACACAACCATGATCGACTCAATGGCTAATCTAAGGGTTCCAACCAATCCAATTCCGCTTTGACGAGCTAAAACCAAAGGAAACCCCCAAAGCATTGCTTGACAACTCCACAATTGTCCTCCTTCACTACTAACTTGTACTAGAAAAGAACAAGGGGAAATTATATGGAATTTCATGAGTCCAAATGACTCCTACACCATGATGGTTACAGATCTGGATTTCCACACATGAAGAAGGCTCATCCGACGGGTGAACAACTTTAATCTAAACCATGGTTGCACTTCAAGAGATAAGTATTGTTACTTATTTAATTATATAGATAATACCGTTTATTAAAAAAATAAAATTAAACTCTATTAAATTTTCGACTTAGGCTACATTCCACGTAAGAACAACCTAGCAACCAATAAATCCCAACACATTCAATTTCGGTTTCCGGTTCAATATGCCCAGCATAAATATTAAAAAGATATAAATTTTAAACCTTTTTGAGTGCGTTTGTTGCATCGGACTGTCTCGGATTGGACTAGCTGCAGGGACTAAGATGGACTAGCTTAGACTAGACTATACTAAGATGGACTAACTTAGTGAAGCATTTGGTGCAATGTCTGACTAAGAAGCAAGATAATGAAAACAGTACTATCACCAGTTTGATGTTTGCTCAGACTAGGACTACATTATTGTTCCATTTTAATTTTTTTTTTTTATTAAAGATATTATTAAAATTAATAATATTGGATGAGAGTGAGACTTAATAAAAATACAAAAATCAAATTTTCTTGCCAACGAAAGAAACATACATGATTTAAGAGTAGCATTGTTCCAAACATGAATATAAAAAAGTCTTCTCCCAACAATCAACAAAGTTCAAGATGCTTTTCTTAATTATTCACCTTTGGTTTAAAGTTGTAAATCAAAGTTAAAGGTGTTGGTTTATACTTGTATTTGAGTGCAACGAAAATTGATGTCTAACAAGTTCAGTTTTTTACTCAATTGTGAAATAATTACTTGGAATTACTCTTGTATGTATAAGCCAATTTTAATCCATACCATAACAATTGCATTCAATCCTAGGACCACAATGATACGAAGCACAATGACAAATGGATAGCTACGCATTGATCATTGCTATGTTTGGATTCCTAGCACGTATATTGGCTTGCTCCACCTAGTTTGAAGAAAGCTAGTAACAATATGCAAAAGGAAGAGATCATGAACAATTTATGCATTCCTAAGCTAGTAATAACAATAATCATGTGTACGGAATTTTGTTTTGTCTAATTAAGCGCCAATATACGTATATATACTAGTAATTATACAACATCCTCTATTAACAATATGCAAAAGAAAGAGAGAAGCAATTACTTTATCATTTCATTTCATCGCACAAGTCAATATTTGCCATTGACTAACTCTTTAAAACATCATTCGCTAAACTTTCCTCCAGGATATTTTACAAAATGCTAGTTAACTATAGCATAGCATTCAAAAGTAGATCCCCATAATTTACAAAATCCTAGTCAACATTAGCCAAAATATTTCATAGTGCAAGGCTAAGTTAGAAGCCATAACCTTAAGATTGTACAACAAACATAATACATTCATGTCAAAAGTCACCACATAATATAATCATCCACTTACTTTGTTGCTTAAAAGCTTTTGGACGAACACTTTCTTGAGTTCTGAATCTATTGACCTGAACACTCCCACATTTTGTGGTTTTTCCAAAATAAGAGTCAATCCATCAATTTGATCCATAGGAGAAAGACCCATTGCTTTAAGTTCATTAGCTATGTCACTATGATCTGTGGTACCTCGAATTATAGCTTCAGTTACCATTTGCATCCTTTTTGCACTTTCAACATAAAATTCTTTCAGTCCATTGATAATTGCCTCAGTTCCATCACTTGAACTTCCCGTAGCTCTTTTCCTCTTTCTTTGGCTACTTGCAGATTGGTTGCTTTGTTGGCTTTGTAGGTTCACTGGAGAAACATCATTTTCAGCTCCAAGATCACTTGCATCAACCTGATTATGACTTTGTTCCTCCATCATTTTAGCAGGGGTTTTGGCTACATTACCCCTAGCCCGATCCTTTCCAAATATATATGCAAATCTATTATACAGTGGAAAAGGTTTGCTTCTCCATCCATCGGCTTCTTTATTTTTCTAAGATTATATCAACATAGCAATTCTAAAATTTAGCATGCGAGACAAATATAGCTGCAAGAATATAACTAATGTATAAATAAAATAGGATATGAACCTGCACATAAGTTTGCCATGCATCATGACTGTCAACTTCAATGCACTTTTTGACATCATTCCATGCAAATCCACTCGTGTTTATCATGTCAAGGACCAAACTATATGTTTTTTTCCATTTCTTCAACTTTGACTCAATATGTGGAGTTGCCCTTATATTTGAATTGGGACATAACACATTGACAGCTTTAGCTACTTCAATCAAAGTACCTTGTTTGAAAGCACCTGTGTCACATCGTTGCCTTCGAGCAACAAAATCCTCAAGAACAGATAGTAATGCTTCTTCCTCAAATGCTTCCCATTTACGCCTCCTTCCTTTTGGTTCTTGTGCGGCATTCAAATTATTGTTGTTATCCATACCTAAACAAAAAATATTTTAATGTACTAAAGTACAATACAAAGAATCAATTTGCAAATATCCAATCAATTTGCATACCATCCAATCAATAAATCGAATTACAATCAATGATGAGCAATCCAATCATTTTGCTAATGTCCAACATATGCATGATAAAAAGGAAAACTAAATAAAATGTTATCATTAACACATATAGCTAGTTCGGTTGCTGGTTCCTAATTACTCTTCACTCATTATTCATTTCCTGAGCCATGACATTTTTCTTTGTAGTCCACTTGTTAGATGTTCCAACACCCAACATATTCACCTTCTTCAGTATTTTGTCCATCTTCTATTATTGGCAAATTCTCCATTAAATCTACAGACATCTCTTGCCTAATAAGATTGTGTAGTACGCAACAAGCGGTAATTATTTGACCTTGTGTCCTTATTGGATAGAAAGATGGACTCCTTAGTATCGCCCACTTTCCTTTTAGCAAGCCTTATTGGAAGGTGTTCGTCCCTCCCATTCAAATAAATGATAAGGTATTCCTCTATAGGGTACAAGGAATCCTTTACTATTTGTATAACCATCATCTACAAGGTAATAATAACCTAATAATAATAATAATAATAATAATAATAATAAAGACCCTATTAGTATTTGCAGTTCACAAACAAAACTAGACCTAACTTTACAAATTTAAGACTAAGTGATAGTCTTACCCGTTGGTAACTTTAAACCATTAGGCCTAGTAATTGCATCATGTAGCACTCCACAGTCTGATGCGGAGCCCTCCTATCCCGGAAACACATATATGAATTGCATATCCCCTGAACATAGACCTAACACATTAGTTACAACTCGACCATTTCCTTTTCGGTATCTAGGTTTGTCAATTTTAGGTACATGCATATCAATTTGCGTTCCATCTAATGCTCCCAAGCAATTCTAAACAAAAAAAATAAGCTTTTGTTAATTTATACAAAGGGAATATCTAGTTAAAGCATAGGAAAAATTGGAAAAATTATCAACATACCTTAAAACACCTCCACCTATGATCTGTAGAATCAATAGGCACAGGCTGAGGGACTTTTAGTAGGATACATTGTAATCGCAAAATTCCTTGCAAGACACTATTGAAATACCTACTTATAGTCTCTCCCAACCCATAAAATCTACTACGATTCTTAGTATGATGTGCTAGTATTTGTAAAGTCATACACACCTGCACCTCTAGAGACACCAAACCATCATCTTTTACCCTCCCATCTTGACGAAGTAAGTCACATAATATCCCAAAAGTCCTTCTATACATTCTCAATTCGTTGACACATTCAGTATCAGTATTCCCTATTATACCATTCAAATAACATAAACTAATATGTCGTCTAACAAGTGAACGGTTAGTCAAAGTGCGTCGATCAACATGTCTTTGTTTGGCCCTCAGCATCAGCAACACAAGAATCGTACAAATGCAAATTGTCTCTAAATGAGACATCTCTAATAGTAAGATTAATAAAAGCTTCCTTTGATCCATCTCTATCCAAACTTTCAAAAAAAAAAAGAAAAAAATGAGGACATGATATATGTAATATCACTGTTATTAAGGGTGATGGAAAATAAGCAATTATGATATCAATTGAACTAGATCAAAAGAATTCATGATACAAAGCAATTGCATCACAAAGATGCAAGTTACTAGCTCTCAATTTTTAGAACTAGAGATCATCGTCATTACAAAGCAATTGTGCGTGCTTATGTGTATGCGCATGATTGTGCTCAATCCTACATTGCAGAGATCATCATCATTATTTATCATTGTCAAAACACATTTTTAATCGTTTTCAACCAAAGGTCAATAAGGTGTATCCATTATCTACGTGTCTTCTACAAAAACTTTACAATTTCACGCGCACACACACACACTAAACCAGCATACATCGACACACACACAGAGCACACACATGGAAGACTCCCATTGCTGAAACCCCAAATTTTAAAAATCCAAAACAGCATGTGGGTAGGACTTGGAATTTTGACAACTTTGACATACTAAATTCCCAAGTTCCATCTCATCTTATCTTTATCCCTTTTCAACCTTTTGCATAGAAAACAGAGTTTTTATTTCAATAGGAATTATGCCAAAGAACGATACGTAATTGTGCATGACATAAAGTCGAAAGACATCTTCATAGCAGACAAGCTTCGAGTGTGCAAAATTACATTAACAAAAAGAATTTAAAATACTTAATAACAAATTAAAAAATGGGATCCTTCCAAATGAGATAAAGAAGTACAGATTAAACAAGATGGGGCATGTTCCATTGGGTCAGGGAGATCTCAGGCAGGATGTCCTGGGCCTTAGAGAAAAAAATTCATGGAAAAAATGCATATCAATATTCCAACATTTTTTCTGTACGCTGATCAGACTGCCAATCACCCATTGCACTTTTACATCATCCTGCCAGCATTTTCAAATGCATTTTAAGGCCTAAAAATTTTAAGAGAGAACAAGGGTACAAAAGGGACATCAAGTTTGTGTACTGACAATGACATAATAAGAGACATCAAGTTTGTGCTCAAGGGATGCATGGATGGAGCATTTGTGTGTACTCAAGGGACATCAAGTTTGTGTCTTCAATGCACTTTTATATAGGAGTGATGCGTACATGTAGTGCAGGCATGTGAATGCAGCAATAAAAGACAACTAATAAAATGAAAACTGAACAAAGAAATAGATAAGAATGAAACCTTCTTTTCACAAACCAAGTTCTGTTTTGTGAATCTGTAACTGCAATTGAATAAACTGCAACAACAATAGAGAACCAATCAGAATACAAGTGAAGCTAAAGTCCAATACAGGTTAGCGGGTAAAGAAAGCAACAATGCAAAATTATGCCTTTTATCTTAGTTTGTAAAACAAGAAACAGAACAAACCAACTAGTACAACCACCAAAGAGGTAAAATGGAAAGCGAAATCCCACCAGCCTCCCGAGATCACGAGGGCAGACCGCTTTACAAAGCATTACGAATTTAGGATAATAAGTATAACACAAGTTAAGATTCAAGACCCACCACAAAACAGCGCGACAAAACTCAATAGGGTATAAAAAAATAATGGCATTTGGTAGCTTCCATTAACAATTGAGCTGCAAAGTAACTTTCAGATGATCGAACTTCCTCCGAAAAAGTAATATACAGAAATATGAAAACCAGTAAATCGGATTACATAATCACTATTTGACAGTTCCATAATTATTGCGATATTAAAAAAACAAAATAAAAATTGAGTGTAAGGGACCAAACCCAACGATATTTTTCTTCAATTAAACAAAAATTAAACAAATAAAATCTGTAGAAAATACTGAAGGATGAAAAATAAAGATATAAATCACTAACGTAATCAGCTTAACTAAAAATCCAAACCTCATTCTAATTCAAAGAATAACATAAAGGAAGAATTGAGGCAAAATATACAATGCGATGGCAGATGTGATGACAGAGATAAGCTATGAACACTGACGTGGAGGTTGGAGTTTCAGAAGTGACTGCAAGAGCTTGGAGAGAAGATAAAACTGCATCGGAAAGGGTGTGTTGAATCGCTCAAGATATCAGAGCAAAAGCTTTACAGAGAGAGAGAAAGTTTTAGAGAGAGACAGTACGCTCTACAAGCTGCAAAGAGCTGAGGCCTTAAATGAAGAAACAAAACAAAGTACACTCTACAGTTCAAATTGATTCACGGCAATGTAAGGCTAAATGAGACTGACTTTTTTTTCTTTGTCGATTTGAACAAAAGTTTATGAGACATTACAAAAGAACAAAAGTTAGGAAGAAGTAATTACTAAATGGGATTCCTCTTATAGAAGGTTGCCCTACAAGCTGCAAAGTAGCTTGCAAAAGAAGTCGAGAAAATGCGCGATGATTTCCATAATCTTGCTCTTGACTATTGCATTGATCATCGTACTCTCTATTCTCAAGCCATGGAAAAAGTAATTACCGCTGCATGCAAGGTTCACAATCTCACTCTATGTTATCATTACTCATAATAATTACAAGTGCAAGGCCGTCAAATGTTCAAATTCAACCAACTCAACCTCCAATGTTGATTCCAAGCTGTCCAAGCTATATTTAATGGTCAAAACTGATTTTAACTAAGTTTGAGATCTCAAAATTCGACAGCAACTGATTCCAAACACTCCAATCTCAATTTGACGCTGATTTTCTTAATGGCAGCTTATAATTCTCATCCGTCCAGTACAACCGCAATAAAGAAATAAGCATAAGTTACAAACATTATATGGCATGCATCCCCAAGGATTTCGACATATAAATGATCTTGTATGCACCCTCGATCTGTTGGCAACTGTTTTTTGTTTAAATTTGAGGGAATCGAACTTAGACCTATCCTAATCCTAACCCGTTATAGCTAACCTCTAAGGCTTCATCATAAAGAAAAACCAACCAACGGTAGAGATCTCGAATTATGAAAACTATTTGAAAAGGTTCAAATGGAATCAAGATCCCCAGGTTCCCACACCAGGAGAGACAAACTCTAAAATTTAACAGATGGAATCAAGATCCCCAGGTTCAAATGGAATCAAGATATCCAGGTTCCCACTTGCCCGACATAAAATTTAACAGATTGACAGACTCTAACACGTAAACCTAAACTAAATCACGTTATACAACCGGCAAAAACTCAACTTAGATTCTGAAATTCAACACCTTTCAATAAACCCAGATTCCATAAATAAATAAAAAATTAAAAAAACAGATGGAAAAAATTCAGATACATAAAAAAAGGCATCTTAAAAACATTAGTCGCAAATTCAAAAGAACCACAGAGAGAGAGAGAGAGAGAGGGTACTTCGACTGGGATCGAACGGGGGATGAGGAGGGGCGGTTTGGGTGGAGGGTTCCTGAGAAGAAGGTGGAGGAGCAGATGAGAGCGAGCAGGATCTGCAATTTGACCCTAAAAATCAAAACCCTAATTTGTTCAAGTGCAGAGGTCTATTATTGAAAATTTCTCAAACCCAAAACAACTATATCAAATAAAGCTCAGTAATATCACGATCTGCAAAACAAATCGAAGATCCGAAGTTTACCAGGCAAGAGGAGCAGATGAGGGCGAGCAGGATGCAGATGAGGGCAAGCAGGACGCAGAGATGAGGGTGAGGAGGACGAGGATGATGGAGCAGGGCAAGCAGGGAGCGATGGCGACGACTCTCTCTCGCAGAATGAGCCAGGTTCTCTCTCGCAGAAGGTCTTACGAGTCCGGCCGAATTTGGGGTTCTTCGCTAAGAACTCCTAGCGAAGTCATTAATCCGAGCGAGTCCTATCTAATACCATTAAATCTAATTCTTGTGCAAACCAAACGTCAGACTACGCTAACAATTAGACTAGTTTAGTCCCGTCCTCCTAATCCGGTCGAACAAAAGGGTTTATAAGGTTTATAAACCTCGTACGTTCTCTCTGTCTCTGTCTCTGTCTCTCTCTCTCTCGCTCTCCGGGTTCGTAATAGAACTCGTACATTTTCTCCGGTCGAACAAAAGGGTTTATAAGGTTTATAAACCTCGTACGTTCTCTCTCTCTCTCTCTCTCTCTCTCTCTCTCGCTCTCCGGGTTCGTAATAAAACTCGTACATTTTCTCTATCTGGGGGTTCGTAAAGCTTCAGTGACGGAGGCCATGCCTTCTTCCCCCATTAAAGTCGAAACATTAGCCCCGAAGGAAGAAGTGAGCTCAAGCAGCAACAAAAATGATAGCAACTGCTCCACTTTCTTCGATGTCTACGACCCTCAAGTACTCTTTCTCTCTCTAATTTTGTTTTCTTTTAAATATCGTCGCCTTCCATGTTTTGCCATGAATTGGTTGTGCGTCTAAAGTATTTGCTACTCTAATTGTATTATCATTAGCATTCAAAGATGCACTCTTTTAGTTTTGTTTCGAATTTTGGTGATGTTGTCCATACCATGTATTCTTGTACGAAGAACAGGTCTGCTGCTTATAGCTTTCAATTCGATACGTAAATGGTTCAGTTAGCTGTAGTATGTACATCTGTATGTATTCTTTGGACTTTAGTTTCTGCAGTCCCAGTAATGCTTGTTCATGGAAATAGTTTGCACGGTCTGACGGGATTTTGGTTGAAACGATTGAACTCTAGTGCATTGCATTTAATCTTATTTGCCCTTGCAGAGTAAAGCAGAGGTGGTTTTTAAGACGCTGGAAGCCAACACAACTCTGAATTTGCAAGTGGGTACTCATAGTTGTTCCTTTTCTGTCAAGTGGCAGGAAATTTCATTCGATTTGAACATTTATTGAGTAAGAAAGAAGAGTGGGTAAGTGAATGGAGTTTGTGTCATGATGCAGGAGGTTCAAGAACTAGTGACGTGGGTGCTTGCTGAAGGATTCATGCCTTCATGGGTTTTTATTAAGGTGAGGAATTCTTTTGTTCTTTAACCCCTCTTTTGATAATTCCAATGTATGTATCGTTAAGGATCAATGAAACCATAACGATCAATATTACCAAAGTACATGGAAGAATCCTTAATACACATACCAAACAGGTGGAAGACTCATTAAACTGTGAAATGTTACCCAGCCATATATATTTCTCAATCTTGTTGGATTCTGTGCATAATTTGGAGACATGAAGTTGAAAGAAACAAGAATTCTTATAGTTATTAATACTGTAACCTTACATTTTGCAGAACAAGCCCCTCATTCCCAAAGTGGTTATGCTTTATGTCCCAGGCCTGGACGCAGCATTGTATTTATCACATCATCGACTTCTTAAGAGTCTCAAAGCATTATGTGGCAAGCCAAGGCCAGTTTTAGCTCTCAGGTTTGTCACAAGTGATTTTGCTTCATCTGCCTTTAATTTCCCTGTACTTCCACTTTCTATGGCTTTATCTTTTTGCCCATACTAGTTGTATGTCAGATGGGATGCAGACAATTGATGCACTCCTGACGAGCAAAGTGAAAAGAAAGAGGGAAGAGAGTACTTCGACTGTGGAGAAATCTAACCTGGCGTCTAAACAAGGTATGTGACATGTTTGCAGAACATTGATCATACTAAATTTCTTGCTTTCATCTTAACTTTGCTAATTTGCATGTCAAAGTTAGTATTTGTACGGAAATCAAGGATATTTTACTAGGAGAATGCTAGTCCAACTTGTCTAGGAAAGCAAGCCACAAGTAACCTGAAGTTCTGTTTATTTGTACGGTTCTCCGGGGTTGCAGTTATACACATGAACTGAGAAGTATCAATACTTCTTGGTTTCCTTTTTTAAACTTCTCCATTCCGTTATGGCTAGCAATCCTCATTTTGGTAACATTGGTTGTCATGGTTATTTGTACCGTTCTGAATCAATAGGAGTAGTGGGTTTATCCATGTTTGATTAATTACCAATAGGTAAGAGCAGAAAAATGTCCTATGTGTGGAGAGTGTCTCTCAGATTCAAACTATTAGGAAACTATCTACAATGTTGTGATTAACAATTACGAAAACAAATGCTGTATGCCCATCTGGATGGGGCTAGATTTTGCAGAAGCAGAACAACTTTTGTTGCTACCGGAGCTTGTGTTGATGTTTTCCTGCCGTCAACACTCACTTTTATATTAGTATTCCCAAGTCTTTGCATGCATGAAACATGAAGAAACACACAATGTTATCTGCTTCGTAATGTTTGGAGTGTAACATCAAAGTTATTTCAGTGTGCACTTTGGATTGTGCCATAGAAGTTCTTGTGTATGGAAGTCTAGAAAAGGTTTTCCTTTTGAAATTCATGTACTCATGATACAACATCAGTTCTGTCACTATGGGTAGAATTCAGAAATCGTACCAGCTTTATCATATCTTGGATATCGGTGTTGTATTGATTACTTAGCCATTCAGTTTTTGCATTTCGTAAGTTGGTGTAGGTTCTTATCATTTGATCCGAGCTATAAAATTATCTTGTAACAAGTATGCATCCTTTTGTTCTGTAAAAGTATCTTAACACTCCATGAGGATCCTCTTAATTTTGTTTTTCTGGGTTTTCTCTACATGTTTTTCTGGTTTAGATAATCTATCTTCTGTGGAACTCATGAAAGATATACCTTTCCCTATTACATTTTACACTCTTACAACAAAACAACTTGAAGACAATGGATATTGCTTCAATTTGCCAGGTAACAAAACAGATGCTGCTTAAAGTTATTAATTAGGATTTCTCTATGATTTAATTTCTAGCTAGTTCCTTAAACTTTTATTCTTATTAATTATTATTTATCAATGCAGGTTTTCTTTCTACTCTTCCGGCCCCTTCAGGATCGTCTCACTATCAAATGTTGGCACTTGATTGTGAGATGGTAAATCCTTGAATATCAATTTCTAAAGATAGAAAGAATTTGTTAACAACTTAACATATATTACTAAATAACTGTTATCTTGTCGGAAGTTCATTGTTGAGGTGTATTTGTCCTTTCAACTTGTTTTATACCTGCTAGATGAATTGTTCGATAGTAGTAAATTATGTTCATTTTTAATTTTTCTGTTCTCACAAAGTGTTGGCGTACTGATGTCATCTTGGTTGATTCCATTTTGTTTTGTTAGTGCGTCACAAGTGAGGGTTTTGAGCTAACAAGAGCAACGCTGGTGACTATGAAAGGAGATGTGAGTTTTAACTATTTTGTTGCCTAATTGTGCAAAAGGAAATGGATGTTAATGTGGAAGGATGCATGAGTTTTGTGCAATTTTTTTCTGACTTGGCAATGGTTTAGTGGTCTTATTTAACTTTGAATGTTTCAACACTTGTAATTTCAGTTGAATAAAATGTAGTATCTGAGTGATTTATGCTTTAACTTTCTTGTTTGAGTAAATCTTGCTAATGTCTCTGAACTTATATTTTGTCTTATTTAATCCCTAAACCATTGCCAATCTCCCTGAACATTAAGCTTTCTATGGTCTACTTGTAGAACATCTCCAAGAGACTCTTTAAACTTCTCAAATAGCTTTTTGAAAGAGCCAAACCAAGGAAATCAAGCTCCAAGAGAATCTTTATCCTACTCTTTATTTTAGTTTTTGTGAATACTTGCTCTTTAACTATAAAGGAAAGAGCTAGCTAAACATAAAAAGTTATTAATTGAGGAGAGAGATGTCAAAGGATGAGAATGATGAGAAAGATGGGTTGTTTGAAGATTAAAACATTTAGAGATTATGGTGCTGGAGACGTTAAATTAAATTGGCTAGTTAAAATAGTTTTTGAATGCACTAGCTAAATTAAAATTTTTAAAGAAACTTGGAGATGCTCATTTCCTAGTGTTGCTTGATTATCATTTCCAAATATATGAAGGAGGCCTGGAAAGGAAAAAACAGAGTGACGTATCGGGCTTCAGCATCTTTTCTAATTTGCACCTTATCCCATCCCGCTGATGACACAATCTTGAAGCTAGAAATCTTATAAGTTTTTTGAATCCTCATATCATATGATATTAAGTTCTTGCTTATCAAGATTTTGTATGAAATTTTGACTAGTTTTTATTATTCTGAATGCTTTCAAACTTTTAATGTGACCCCTAGACTCTTAAAATTTCTTCTATGTAATTTTGCACAAATGAGTTTGTTACCACGTAAATAACTTTTCTTCTCAATGTTTGAACTTTTAAGTTTTAATGAATCTCAGGTTATGCTAGATAAATTGGTCAAACCAACAAATCCTATCACTGATTATAATACCAGGTATGTTATCATTTTAGCTTTCATTAGTCCTTCCGGTGATATGTTGCTCTAGTGTTGAAGCAGTTAGAGCTGCTTCTTGGAATTCAGATTTATCTTCATCATATGTGTGGCCATCCTTGCCCTTTTTTTTTTCTTTTTCCGTTTCCCATGAAGCTGGCCAGATGAAATCTCACCTTGGAGTTTTTTCAAATTTTAAAATATTTTTATGTTACTTTCGTGCTAGTTCTGGTCAGCACCCATAGTCATTTACCTCTTCTTGAAGTAGTCTTGCTTTGGTTATAGGTGCATTTAGTAGTCCATCTACTTAAGCCAAATTTCCTCTTACCTTACCAGTAAAAGGTGCTATTCACTCTGCTCTTACACATTGAGTTTTAATTATTTTCCTTATCACCCTTATCATCAAACGTTTGTGTTTTAATATCTTATTCCTGCGTATTATTTGATGTTTTTCAAACTAAGTGCATGGTGATGTTTGTATTTCTTGTGGGGTAAAACAAATGATGATCGGTTGTAGTGCTATTGGGGCATTGTGGGGGAGCAAATGTTTTGGAAAATGTTGCCTCCCGTTGGGGCAAGGAGTTCCAAAATTGCCTCTCAAGGCACCCTTTGTTACCTGGCCGACCGTTAGTGTGCATGTCCCTGTTCCTGCCGTCTGAGGAGCTGCAGTGGCGGCTGTGCTCTTTTCCTTTTAATACATTGTATTACAACCG